CTGACATTGCTTTCTTCCTGTGCGGAAAGCCACTTCACTTGTGAGAGACGTTCCTGCCAGATGAAATCAGGATTGATCTGGTGTGTGCGTGCACTGGAGGCCGAAAGGAAGTTTTTGGGAAGAGTCACGAAGGCACGCGTTTTGGGATCGTAGAGTCGCACCAGGAAGGTGACTGTGAATTTGGTACCGGCTGTGGTCGACTGCAGAAACAGCTTAGGCGGCAGTGATACCTTGCATCGTGCGACAAGACGACGTGGCATCGAGAGTAGATAGAAGGGTGAGATGGGATCCAGCGAGGTGACGACCATCTCGGGGCCGCCGTCGCGGTCGATGTCGACACCCCGACTGATGGCAATACCGAATCCCCTAGAAGGCGTACTGGAAGCACCTACTAGAGCCGACGGCGATGGGGCGTCGAGAATCTAGAAGGGCAGCGGAAAAGGGTGTAAAGGATAGGCATCGAAGTGGAATAGGAGTTTCTATGGGTCAAGTCATCGTAACGAACTAAAGATTTTTCTGGTCACCGCGATGATGTTCGACCCACGAAAAGCAATGCAAAATATGGCTCACTGAAAGGCCGTTTAAAGCGCTGTGTGGGGTTAACGAGGTCATAAATGTAGCAAGTGAAAAGATTTGGCGCTCGGAACTCTAAAGCGAGAAAGATGTCATTACCAAATGCATATGTGGGCAACAGCTAAGTTGGTCGTTCACTTTATGTATCCCTGGCTCCAGAATTCTGCATTACGGGATCAGTGGTATTAATGCAGTTTTTTAGTTTATGAGTATAATTTTTATTTTCGTTGAGTTTAGTTTTTATTTTAGTTAGTTTTGTTTATTTTCGCTTAGTTAAGTGTATAGTAGTTATTTGAGTATATTTATATAACGCTGGTGGTATCTAAGTCAAGTGAAAACTAAACTAAACCCAAAATTAAATTACTAAACTAAAGACTAAACTAAAACTAATAAAACCAAAAACAACCACAGGACTAGGTGGCGAATAACTTAACGTTTACGCATATGTGCAGTTAAAATGTGTGCATTTATTCCAAAACATATGAGGAAACCTACATAAGTATCAAGGATCAGAAAAAAAAAAAAGGGAACACTCAAGATAGGATTTTTTTGAACGCTTGACTTCGACAGATGCTTGGAAGGAGGCATCCTTTTGTGTTTTAGTTAACAGCCAATCAGATGTCATGGTAATCCGTTTAGAAACTACACATGTGCAGGTTTTTTTCTTCATTTGACAACAGAGTTAATGAGTCAATCAATCGTTTACTAACCTTCACCGATCGCTAACGGACCTCATTCGCCCGTTCTTCGTTGGGGATCATTCTCGAGGCCCACCAGCAGCATTTTTATCTGTCAGGGGAGGACAGTAGGACGGATGAGTTCCGTTAGCGATCAGTGAACATTAATCAACGAATGTCAATATCTCCCGATCTAAACTGATAAGCCAACGTGCTCGTGGCTCAGTGGTTAGAGGGTTATACACTGATCCAAGAG